AAACAAGTTATGTCATAGATAATTATTATCAAACACGTTTTGTCTTGCATGCAGCATTACTATTGTGCTTGGCAATCCCATGTATTGAAAATCAAGATGCCTTTTTCAACCAGAGCCTCATTTCCTTTTCCACCAGGAATACTTTATATCCTATTGTGAATACCATTCTCATTATTGTAACGCTAATCTAGGAAGCCGCTGCTTAAAAAATAAGGCTGGTTTGAAAACACTAATATGAATCAGACAAAGGCATGGCTTTCTAAAAGAACTTTCATTCTATGGCTAATTTTAAATGCTCATAAATAAAGAATGGGTCGCCTAATCCTGCAAACTCTTCTGCTTCATTCAGTGAACATTAAGTGGCTGTTTGACTACACAGCGATGTTGTCAGGAGGTGTGCTTGAGTGCACCTTTCCCAGTATTCAGTGCTTCGATGGTTCTTGACCATTCACAGAGCTGCCTGCAGTCCCTTGATTAGAAACAGATGTCCTAAATGAAAAGGATGGTTAGAGCAATGTTAGTGGATCAACTGCTAATAGCAGATTACAAGCTATATTCTGAAGTTCGGTAGGATATTTTTTGTGCACATAAGGAAAGAAGATTTCTAAATTGTCTGTAGACAGTGATTACACATTGTGATAAAACAATATGTATGACTTGAAAGACATTAATTGCTTATAGTTGCAATTTTTCTGAAAGGTACTTAAGTAAAAGATTCGTAAAGGGTTTTATGAAGGCTTTTTTGTGTATATTTGTGTGTATGCAGATTTGTGTGTAGACCCATCTATTCTTGCATATGATGGTGGGAAAATTCTAAAAACAACTGAACTTGTGGATGATGTATTTCAGGCCTGCTGCATTCTTTTTTTTTTTTTACATTTTTCCCTCATATGCAGGAAAGAAACCCCTTGGGAAATTCTCTTCATTTGTGTATACAAAAATGGACAAACAGTATCCCAGAGAATACCTGCTTCTGCTAAATAACAGTGGATATGAATGCTTGAAATTTATTTTAATTTTTAAAATCTTTTCAATAGTAGTTCTTTTTGATTGCTATATTAGCATTAATATAAGAAAACTGAAAGTTTTTGTCATCTTAGAAAGCACTGCAAAAACAAATTGTCATCAGCATCTGGACAAACTGGTTTCAGCTGTTGCGTATTTTGATTTCTGGAGTTTGTCTTTTCCTGTTTCTCCTCAGTCCCCCCTACACACCTATGAATTGATTTATATACCTTTGTTTTGCTATTCATCAGATCAACACTTCCATTCTCTTCTTTTCTGAAACTTCATTTCTGCTTGCTGACTTAGAAAGTCCTTCTCTCTTTCAACACTTCTGTCTGCTACAGGTCTTTTTGATCACTGCTACTTTCTCTCTCCCATTCACTGGCTTTCTTTAGTCCTTTGTTCATCCACATCATTCCTAGGAAGTAGTTCATCTTTAAGGCTTTAGTGGCCTCCTTCTGGTCAGAAACAGTATTATGTGTAGTTTTATATAGATACAGATATATAACTGCATAACAGTTTCTGTTTGTGTCAGAAGTGGTTTTTTTTAAGTGAATCTTCCCTTACATCCTGCTCACTGCCTTTTGGTTCACTTCATGGAGCAGTCTAGGAGCAATCCTAACAGGTAATGGGGGTTCAGTCCACAGGACCAAAATAAAACTGGCTGTTAAGCTTAAAGCTGCTGGAAGTGTATAGTGCAGACATCAGATCTTCAGCACTGGCTCTCAATCTGCAGGTGCATTTCTGCTGGTGCCCACCATTTCCTGATGCAGATGTGGCCTCTGCGGCCTTGACATTTATTGCTTCTCTGAGCTTTGCTGTTCCTTCCTTCACTCCTTCAGTCTTACCTGTTTCCATATGTGGAATTCGGCTCACCCACAACCTAAAGCCAGGCCCTACCCATGTTCAGCCTTTATTGAGCTTTGCTTGCATCCAGGATTTCTAACTGGGTGCTCCCTTAATCTGTGACAGAAACTGATCCTGTCTCCACTTTGACTGCCACAGCTACTTGTGTTGTGTTACTGCCAGGATACTTTCCTTGTGAAGTAATTATCTATTTATGGTCTTTCCCGTTATGTGTAGGCTGAATGTCATTCTTCCCTTTTGAAGCACTCCACACCATTGCACCTGTTCAGCTATCCTCATATGAGCCTAATTTTTTTTGTAAGCCACTTTTCACTGAGTACATAGTCTGACCATTTCATTAGCTGCTGTCTCTGGAACTGTTCACATGTTGTATCATTTGCGTGTAGTACTGTCACAGCTGAAGTGTAGCAGGATCTTTTCTTTGTTTCAGACAGTTCTGAGAAACTAGCAGTTTCCTTCTTCAGTAAATATACTATGTATTCCTTCACTTGTAGAGGAAGTACTATGTATTTTTGCTTAGTAGCTTGTCCACATTGAAAAGTACCAACTTTTTGCAGTGTGCTTTTTGTACATACTAAATGATGGTGTCAAAAATCAGGTTGCGGTTTTTTAAATGTCTTATATGTAGCAAGTGTTCGTGTATAGTTCTGTTAAGGAAGGTCCATACACACATGCATGTATGTTAAAATGGTGTTTCTAGCAGCTTCACTGGTAATGTAATTTCAGAATTTGGATCTGTGCTTAAGAACTAAAGTTTCAGTATACTGCAACATTATTTAGATTTATTTTAACACAACACTTGATATTATGAAAAAACCCAACTTGTCCCTTGCAGCTTTTACACTTGTAAACAAATGCTTCTACATTGAAGCTTGTTTTCTTTAAGAAGCTGGTAAAAACTCAGTTGACATATGGGAGAAATCCTTGGCCTTTCCGAGCAGCATACACTTACAGAAATAGCTAGTATTGCATTTCTATTTGCCTGTGGTACAACTAGTACTCTCTGTATATTACTCAGTCTTGCAGCACTGAAGTCCAGTTGGACATTAGAAAGGATTTCTTCACAGAAAGGATGATTAGACACTGGAATGGACTGCCCAGGGAGGTGCTATAGTCACTGTCCCTGGAGGTCTTTAAGGAAAGACTGGATGTGGCACATAGTGCCATGGGTTAGTTGACATGGGGGTGTTTGGTCCAAGGTTGGACTCAGTGATCTCAGAGGTCTTTCCAACCTAATTCATTCTCTATTCCTAGGGTTTTTTTTTTCCCAGGTGACTCATTTCTGACAACAAAACCTGTTTCTGCTGTTTAATTACCTCATCTTTGCTAATGCCATTTCATGTCTCTGGTTTGTAACTTTTTCAGGGCAGGCCTGACTTCCTCATAAACAAGCAGTGCCAGATTTATATGATTGCGAGCAATATGTGTTCACTGTGCTACATGTTGCAATTTAGGACGCAATTTGAAATTTCTTGAAACATAACCTTTATAACCCAATCAGGCAATGAATATTCCTGCAGAATAGAAAGTGAACTCTGGAGACTGAGGAGAAGCTATTCAATGATATCTGCGAGGGCTTTTTAAGTATCTTTTCTATTCTGGATGTATGCAAAAGTTCACACAGGCACAAATCATGCAGTTTTTGTTACTTAACTCCTCGTCAAGAAGTATTTTGCTTTGTTTTGCTAATTTCAGAAGAATAATGCTCAGAAAATATTTAACATATTGATTCAATCAGAGGAAAATCAAAAGCATCACCTGTTGCTGTGTCTATTTGGCTGTCTGGGATATGTTTCAAGCTGGGTTTGTTTGTTGGGTTTTTTTAGCAACATCTGTTCCAACTCCCCTTGTGTGTCTGTGTGTTTGTGGAGGGAGGATGTTTAAGGTATGTTAAGCCATTTGTTCAAACTGGTTTTGCATCAGTGTCAAAGAAATTTGAAAGGCAGTGACAACTTTTAAAAGAAGAAGTGTCCAAAGCAACAGAAAGCCAGTATGCCAAGCATAGATTTTGGGGGATGTTTAATTAATTCTCATTAGGACTTTTACTTTCAAATAACTTCTAAGGAAAAATGTCATTAATATAAAAGAAGTAAATAATTTTACTGAATGTTAGTGAAAAAAACCCCAACAACTTTCTGTTGTGTGCTAAAGCTTAGTTAATGCAATTTTCAAGGAAATTTAGTTTGAAATTAATGAATGTTGACCTGTTAATGACAGCTTGTTATTAACAGTTCTTACCTCCTGGCCATGTTGGGGATGGTGTTTGATGGTATTTGAAGAAATGATATGCAAAACTGAGGAGTTTTAGGTATTCTTTAAGGAGACCTTAGTGTTAAAGACTATCCAAGAGGGATCAGACATACTGTGATGAAGACCGTATGGATGTTTCTCGTAAGTTGGTCGTTTGTGAATTGTTTTTGAGTGTTTTTGACAGTAGAAGGTTTGATACCTGGTGCTTCAAGGATGTTGCTCCATTCTGTTCTGTGTTTTGTTTCTAAAGCTACAGATTTCTATTATTTCCTCTTTTTTTTGCTTTTTTTATTCTTTATGGCATCTGGATTTAGTTACTGGATCCTGCCTCACCAATGCAAAGGAGAGAGTACAGAATTTGGACTAATGCAAATACTCTGCTTTAGGAAGATCAAAACATGCATGAATTACTGTTCTAGTCTTGTCTGCTGAGTGTACCGACTGTTTGTGTACCAGATGATTCATAGCTATGCTGATATATCTGTGGAGTTTTGTGTTTTTATTTACATCTTAAAAAGCTTAACTTAAAAAAAATTTAAAAAAACCCTACAAACCTGTCCAGCAGAGTTGCAGTAGAAGCATAGAAGAATTCAGGTGGACAGAAGCTTTTTCACTGCAGCCTATAGCTGAACAACTTCTGCACAAATCTTTAAATTTTGTGTTAAAATATACATTTGTCTAGGTTGACTAGTGGTTTATATTGTTTATGTTAGTTTTATTGTTGCACCTTTGCAAACATTTGTCCTTGATGCCCCTTTTTTCCAGCACTTTTGAACTCTGTGATAATTAATTATGCCTTGTGTAGTAATCAAGTGACTCAAAGTTATTGATATCTGTCTTAAAATAATCTTTTTCCTTTTCTGTCTTTCCAAAAATAGATAATATACCTGAGAGAATCTCCAGAAGATGTGTACAGGCTTATCTTAGCCGGAAGCATTTCATATCTTCCTTTCAGGTAAATAACAAGTCAATAGAACTTTCTGTACCTTGATATTTTGAAATTGATGGTTAAGCATATCAAATATCTGTCATTCACCTCAAATGGCTTGTAATATTTTTAGCACTCCGTCTGACGTGCATAAAAAGTGCTACCTAATCTCATATGATTTAGTGTGTCTTTAAAGTATTTCTTCTCATCATTGAGGAAATGTGTAAAACCATTGGGTTATGGTTACCTGTCCCTGAGGGAATGTAATCCTAGCTGTTTCAGACCACAGACTTCCTTTGTGGTGTATGCTGTGTTGCTTAATGTGGCAAATAAAATCAATCTGTTGTGTAGAGGAAAAACTTAATTTCTTTCAAACAAGAGTTTCTACATGTTGGACTAAGCTAGTGTTCGAATGCCTGCCAGATTATGGAGAAAAGGAGGCAAGCTTACTGTTCAAATATATTGTTATGGAGTGATTAATTCAGTACTTGTTTTTTTGTGTTTTCTAGCTCTCTTGCCAAGAGATGAGGTTTTGATGATTTGAATTTCTATTACTTCCCCCCCTGCCACCTCCTCAGTATAATGGTGTAGTAGTACCTCTCTTTATTTGCATAGTTTCATCATCCCATTTCTCACTTTAAAATTCCATTTTTATATTCCCAGAATAGCGAAAGCTGTCCTTTGGAAGACTGTAAGATTTGTTTCTAAATATCATAAAGGTGTACATGGGTGATGGTGATGATAGCATTTCACTTGCCCATAATATATAAGTTGCCCAGATTCTAAGGCTACCGCTTCAAAAGAAATGCAAAGATGTGTTATATAACAAGGCTTATTGGGAGCTGACTTCTGAAGACTTCTCCTGTCTCGGGGATAAAGAATATAGTCGGCTGAAGTGCCTGTAAAATTTACCATTTTCTTGAATTTACTAGTGTGGCCAAACCTGGTATTAATAGGGAATTCTGATTACGTTAATGATTGACTGAGATGTTGTCTTTGATCTGTTCCTTTGAGACCATCTTCATCTCTGAAAAATGCAGTACCTTCCCATAGAATAATAAAAAGTCAGTCAGGTAGTTGCTGCTTCAGGTCATAGCAAGATGCAGAAATTTCTGTTTTGATTTGTGGAATCACAATGAAGTTGGAAGGGACCTCTGAAGGTCATCTGTTCCAACATCCCTGTTCAAGGAGGGTCACTTACAGCCGGTTGCCCAGGGCCACAAGGATGGAGACTCCACAGCCTCTTGGGGCAATCTTTAGTCACGTGCAGAATGAAAAAATGGGTCCTGAGGTTCAGAGGGAACCTCCTCTGTTTCACTTGATGCCCATTGTCTCTGGTCCTGTCACTGAGCACCACTGAAAAAAGCCTAAATCATCTTTGTGCCCCTTTGCTTCACTCTCTCCAATATCTCCATGCTTCCCTTGTCTATGGAACCCAGAACTGGGTATAGTACTCTGCATGTGGCCTCACTAGTGCTGAGGAGAGGGAAATGATTGCCTCCCTTGACCTGCTCACAGTCCTTTGCCTAATGCAGCTCAGGATACCATTCACTGCTTTGTCGCAGGGCACACTGCTGGCTCAGGTTCAACTTGGTGTCCACTGAGACCCTCAGGTCCTTTTCTGGAGAGCTGCTCTCCAGCAGGTTGGCTGCCAGCATGTACTGGTGCCTGGGGTTATTCCTCTCCAGGTGCAGGACTTCATATTTTCTCCTTATTGAACTTTATTAATTAGGCTTCTGTCAGCCCATTTCTCCAGCCAGTCAAGGTCCCTTCAAATGGCAGCACAACTCTCTCACGTATCAGCTACTTCTCTCAGTTTTTGTCATCAGCAGACTTGCTGAGGGAAATTTCTTCACCTTCATCCAGAATATTAATGAAGATCGTAAACAGGATCAAATGCAGTATTGACTCCTGGCATCACTGCTGGTTCCCAGCCTCCAACCTAGACTTTGTGCTACTGACCGCCACCCTTTGGGCCCAGCCATTTAGTCAGTTTTCAATCCGCCTATGTGCTCAACCAGCCCACGTATCACTAGCTTGTCTATGAGGGTCTTACGGAGACAATATCTAAGGCCTTAGTGAAGTTCAGGTAGACAATATCCACTGTTCTCCCATCATTTACCAGGCCAGTCATTTTAATGTAGAAGAGTTTATCAAGTTGGTCAAGCATGACTTCCTCTTGATGAAGCCATGCTGACAGCTTCTCGGATTTTCTTGCCCTTAATGTGCCAGTTTCCAGGATTAGCTATGTTATCACCTCTCTGAGCAGTGACATGATGCTGACTAGCCTGTAGTTCCTTGGGAATTCCTTCTTGAAGTTGAGAGTGACCTTTACTTTCTGCCAGTCTTCAGGCATTTCTCCCAGTCACCATGTCAGTCAGAGATTATTGAGAGTGGCCTTGCAGTGACATCAGCCAAGTCTCTCAGCACTTGTGAGTGCGTCCCATCAGGACCAGCTGACATAAATATCCCATTTACAGAATATTCCCCAATCTAACTCTCTTCCACCAAAAGTACATCTTCGTTACTCCAGCCTTTCCCCCTGGTTTCCTGGTCCTGAGGTTCCTGAAGCCCAGTCTTGCTAATAAAGACTAAGGAGAAGACATTAGTACCTCAGCTTTTTCCATGTCTGTGTAACCAGGTCCTCTGTCGCACTGAGCAATGGGCCCATATCTCCCTAGTTTTTCTTTTGTCACCTGTATTTTTGTAGAAGCTCTTAGTGTTTTCTACAACATCCCTGGCCAGACTCAATTTCCTGTGGGCTTTATCTTTTCTAATTTCATCCCTGGTTGCTCAGACAGTGTCTCTGTATTCCTCCTAGGTTAGCTGTCCTTGTTCCCGTTCTCTGTGTGGTTCCATCTTGAGTTTGGCCTGGAGTCTCTTGTTCATCCACACAGGCCTGCTTGCGTTGTTATGTGCTTCATACTCACTGGGATGAGCTGCTCCTGAGCTTGAAGGGGCTGATCATTGAATATTAACTCGCTTTCTTGGGCCTCCCTTCCCTTCAGGACCTTATCCCATGATACTCTTCCAAGCATGTGTTTGAAGAGGCCAAAGTCTGCTCTTTGGAAATCCAGGATTGTCAGCTTGTTTTTCACCCTTCTTCCTCCTGTCAGAATTCTGAGCTCCACCATCCCATAGTCACTGTATCCCAGGCTGCCTTTGCCTTTCATGTTCACAGTGAGCACCTGCTTGTTGGTGAGTATGAGGTTCAGTAGTGTAGTGGACCTCATTGATTCTTCTTATCACTTGGAGAAGGGAGTTGTCATTAATGCACTCCATGAACCTCCTGGATTGCCTGTGCCCTACTGTGCTATCCCTTCAGGGAGATATCAGTGGTTAAAGTTCCTTGTGAGGACCAGGGCCTGTGAAAGTGAGGCTGTTCCTGTCAGTCCACAGAAGGCTTCATCCACTTGTTCTTCCCCATCAGGTGGTCTAATAGACCCTCACTACAATGTCACCTTTATATGCCCTTCATATGCCTACAGAACAGTAGGGTTCTGTTACTTCCTTCTGCTGGTTTCCATCCCACCCACCTTTCACACTGATTCATGGGGAAGAAAAGGATAGAAAAAAGTTTAGAGATATCATTCATCCACTTTCTTCAGAAGTTCTTCCTCATCTCAGTTGAAATTTGGACATGCTACATATTTTACTTACTTGAAACATTGATGGCTCTCTGCTGATGAGGGCTGTATGGTCTCAGAAGAAGGTGTTCTGCCGAGACATAATATTCTCCGATATAGGTTCAGTTTAATTTATTTGTTTTACTTAACTACATTCCCATAGAATGCTAACTGTATGGTACTTATGGAATCTGACAATGGTCATATACTAAGAACATGCCATTTCTGGATCAACAGAATTAAAAAAGATACAGTTGAAAGAAGGGCTTTTAATGAAACCAGTTTCTCCTCTTGTTTAAGCATAAACTATTCATACATCTTAAGGAAAGTGTTTTAGTGTATCTATACAAATGTTTATCTTGACAGTTTTAGTAAGAAAATGCTGTTCATGCGTATATAGAATGCATGTGCGCAGTCTCTTTTAAACGGAGCTTGAAGAAAAAATTTGCAGTGTAATAAAATTTGACTTCTTTTGGAAGTGTACTTGGAAGAAAATATTTAAAGAATATGTGTTAGAATGATACTTATTTAGGAATTAGCTTTTGCCTGTTCCAATGTTCATGTCAGAAATTGAACTTGCCAACTTTATCAAAACTGTAACAAGAGTATCTTACTCTTGTATCATCTGTTAACATAACTGATGTTTATTATTCCTTTAAGATGCAAGGTAGGGGAAATGAATTAATAATTTGACATAATTGCTATTATAGGTGAAATAATTATCTTGAAGCAGTTTTATTAAAGGTATTTTAGAGAAGTGTCTTCTATTGCTTTCACTTGGATTAAAAGGGAAAAATTACTGTCTTGGTCATCATATCTTATAGGGATGCTTCCTTTGGTACTTGCAGTTTTCATCTGACGTTGCTGGACTGTTTTCATGCAATAAACAAGGTCAGTACACTTATATTTTTCATATTGCAAAAGGTCAGCTAAATACTGCCCAGCAGAATAAGAAGGCTTAGAAAGTTAGGATTCCAATTAAAGCTGTGCAGTAGCAGATTTTCTGATTGTCACCTAGCTAATTATGCATTATAACAAAAGTGGATACAGCATCCATAGAAGTTGACCAATACCTTATAAAATCAACTAGTGAAGATTTTAAAGGGGGAATTTTGAGTTTTATTTATGTAGTCTGTCAGGACAGTAAGTCACACCTCTGATCCGTAAGAATTGTGTGTTAAGTTTATTATATCCCCCCCAGTGTTAAATTTTAGGCTGAATATAGTCTTTGAAAGTGGTTTTGAATTGGTTAGTCATACCTTTTAGGCATTTGCAGCACATGCTAATGATTTCAAGTTTTGTGTCAGTAATACAGATAGAACAAATGTTAAGAGGTAGGTGCTTTTTTTGACTACAAATTATCATAACCTAATGTTTTATAGCAATACAGTGATGAAGTAACATGGCATCGAAGGACGGAGGAATTAAAATGCCTTCTTTTTAGTCTATATGAGTAGTGAAATGGGGAATTCTGAATTCTGCAGCTCTCCACCCTACTACTGTCTTTTGTATTGTGGGAATCTCTGCCAAATACTGACATTTTTACCTGTTAAGTCATCTTCTTGCAGATTTATGATTTTCAGCTTTTTTGGATGTTTTCAAGTTGGCTCCTTGTATGCCAAGAGTGGTGCACTGCTATTCTTCTTGCTGGTGAACAGCAAGGAAACCTACAGAGGATTAAGAAGTGAAAGAGGAGATTAGGATGTTATGTTTTAAGTATCTGGGATATATGGGATTATCTGTGTTTGTGTTTCCTGATTGAACAAGTGGATAAACTATCATTTACCCAAATGAATGAATTTTTTATACAGTATTATTAAATATTATGGTTGTCGGTTATTACAGGACATCGTGGACCACACTGATGTCTGCTTAGGACTTTGTGACAGCAAACAATTTAAAATCAGTGAAGATATTAGCAAATAGTATTTATGCACAAAAAATATTTGCAGTCTATGAATGCAGATTTAGAATGTATTTATAACTTCTAGAGATGATTTTTGCCAGTTATTTTTCCCTTTTTTTAAAAAAAAATTTTGCCCCTAGCAGTAATAAAAAGACTGAATGCTTCAGTAATCTGGGATTTTGTAGTGATTCAGTGAAAACAGGAAAAAGTTGATTTGCTTGTCTGACTTCACTTATATTGAAATTTGCAAATCTGTTCTGAACCAGGACTGAGTGGATCTGTGCTTCTTCAATTATATGAAGAAATCTCTCTTAAACAGTAGCGTGGGTGTTAAGGGACTTCTGGTAGCCAAAAAGAGTGATAAACTGTCCTCATTGAAAAGGCGTCTTTGTTAAAAGCTGTATTCTGAATTTTAGGCCTTGCAATATGGTTTCCTGGACTTTAGTACGTTTGATGTAAATGAATATGAGCATTATGAAGTAAGTGTTCAGCATTGATATTTTGGTTGGTTTGCTGTTGCTAATACTAAAATGATTGTTTATAATTTCTACTAATTTTTATTGTAGTATTAATTTCTGTTTTGTCTGTTTAAACTATGATTGGTATACAAAGGTGCATGGTCAGAGAGAGAGTATTAAAATTCAGATTTAAGCATATTTAGGCTTGAACATGGGGGGAAGCAGAAATCAAATTGGAAATAAATACATTTTTCTGTTATTATTAAAGCCTTGGGAGTTGATGGGAATGCGAATTTGGATACCTCTTAGAGGTCATGCATATTCTTGAGCAGTCTTGATGAAAAACCAGAGGGCATACAAGCCCAAGTCTAACTGAATGCTGGAGAACAATTAAAGTTTGTATCTGTGAACACGTGGCAAAGGTGTAACACCACTCTTTGAGGTAAAGAAGAAAACAGGGCTGGGAAACTCCAAAATTCACTTTGGGGCACAGGAAACAAAAGTGATAGTGGAGTGCAACTCTTGACTATAAGCAGTCTCAGAAATGCAAAGCTGCCAGTTAACTGTAAAAAGAAAATTAAGTGCTCTTAGAACCTAAAAAAATCATTATTTAAGTTGTGAACAGAGGTAAGGCCAAGGTCATAATTTAGAAACATAGACAAAATTAAAAATTGGAAGTTGCCTTTCATCTGAAAGGCATCTGATGTGTTGTTCTAAACCTGATGTAGAAAGAAAAGAACACAGGCAAGAAAAGTGAAGTTGAGAGCATCTGTCAGCCTCATGATGGAAAAGAAAGCAGGCAACTAACATAACTTCTTTGACAAAAATTTTACATCATTCTATCTAGCATGTATTTTGAAACAATAAGGAAAAGCCTGAAAATACAGGGATAATGATAAACCAAGCATTTTCTCTTGACAGAGAGCAGAAAATGGAGATTTTAACTGGATAATACCAAACAAATTCATTGCCTTCAGTGGACCTCATTCAAGAAGTAAAATTGAAAATGGTATGCTTAAAAAAGGAGGTGGGGGACACAAACCCACTGCTTTCTTAGTTGATTGTTATCAGTATGAACAAGCTTTAAAAATTGTCCCTCAAATAGTGTGTTTTTTCCTTGGCTCTTTTTCTTTTATAAGAACCCTGGCAGTAAAATTTTAATGCTTGGTTTAATTGCATCTGACCCAGGTGATTATGTTAAAATTCCATTTTCAGTTAGTCTATTTCTTTGTGTTGAATGTGAGTTCTATTTTTAAAGTGTTTTCATCAAGTGTTTTTTAGTCTATGTTCTTTTCTGCAGTTTGAGCCTTACTGCCTTCTTTGCTTTTTGTTTCCCTTCTTTTCTCCAATAGGCTATCCCCACCATGCTCCAGAGGCTTACTTCTCATACTTCAGGAAACATAAGGTCACCACTATAATACGCCTCAACAAAAAACTGTATGATGCCAAACGATTTACAGATGCTGGATTTGAGCACTTTGACCTCTTCTTTGCTGACGGAAGCACACCTAGTGATACTATAGTTAAAACATTTCTAAATATTTGTGAAAATGCTGAAGGTGTAATAGCTGTCCATTGCAAAGGTATAGTGTAAAAACTAATTTATATTACAAGTGATGCTTGTAGTTAGAGTTCCTGAGGCCTTTTACACTATAATTCTATTATATCTATTTACTAACATTCCTGCCAAACTTCAGGGTTTTTTTGTGGTTCTGTTCAACACTTCATCCTCTTAGTGTTTTGTGAATTCCAGAAAAATATTCCCAGCCGTTCCCAAGAATGAGGCTGGAGGAAGTGAGCTTTCCAATATTAACAGCTCTTTGTGCTGGAAAGTGTTAGCATTTTCAAAGGATGCCTTTAAGCAGGAATTTGAAGTCCTAGCAATGCTTATAGTATTTCTGAAAATACACAATTAAATATACCAAATCGTAAACTTTTGAGGAGTTTCCTCAAAAATCATGAATATTCTTCCAGAACCACAAAAATCTTCATCCCTCAGAAACCCTTTATACTGCCTACCTTGGGCATACTCTGAAAATCTCTTCCTCTAGACTGCCAAGATTTTTAGAGCATGCCCAGTGCAGCTACTATAAAGAGTTTCTGTGATTCTAGAGGCACTGTGTTTTCCTTCTCACACCATCTTTAACAGACTGTCAAGCATTACTTCTCCACAATTTTGCCTTACTAGTGTACCTGAAAATGTTGTGATGGGAGAAGAGCCTTTTCTTAAACTATTTGCTTTGGACCTGCAAAGACTGCATTTTTGTTCCTGGATCTGCTGTCCAATTGCTGTATGTTTAACAGAATTTTACTGGGAATTGAAAAATTGTTAAAACCAGAATCTTGACTGTTAGAAAACAAGTGCATACTCTTATTCTTCACTGAGATGATAAATTCAGGCGTATCTCATAACCAGTTATGCCAGAACATGGAGTATCAGTGGTACAAGTGCACTGTTTTCATTCAAATTAAGATATCCTTTGATACATGTCATATTAATGATATCTAGACCAACTTTATGTTCCTCAGCCTGCTCTTACTCTTGAGAAAGAGTAGAATGCTGTAGTATGTTCTTCAAGCTGGGCAAGCCATGGAAAATGCTGTGTGGTTGTCTTGGCTGTTGGGTTATACAGAGGGTTTTACACTGGTGTTATCAGTCAGCTTTTAAATGAGAGAAGGTGGTGTGTGATGTGACATTTACAGCAAGTGATTGAGGAGAGATGCTGCTTAGCTGGAGTTGTCCTTCTCATGTTTCCCAAGGTAAACAACCATTTTGAGGGTGATCGCAAAGAAGGTTCCTCATTCTGGAGTACTTTTTGCCTGTGCCAGCTAGTGCCCAGACTTGCTTATTGCAAAATTTGTCCTTTTTGGGGGAGCTAAAGTGATTAATTAGAAGAGGGACTGGAAGAGCAATTGGTTTCAGTGCAATGTATGATGGGTTTGCAAGAAGGTGCTGTGAGAAATTTTTTTAAAAAGAGCCAGCTGTTTTATCCCATGAGTAAAAACATTCTCATACCTACATACATGTTTCTAGATAAGAAGGTAAATAAAGATGGATAGACTTTCAGATATTTGTAAAGTTGCTGGTTTTGGAAGGTTACCTCACTCAAAAAAAACCATGTACAGTGTGTTGGTAACCTTGTGTATGAAAAACATCTAAGAGTATTTTTGCACTTACCAAGTTTGATCAGTACAGGTTTGTTTAATAAACTAGGCAACTACTTGTGCAAGTAACAGTGTCTGTAGTTACAGCAGATTCCAGGTGAAGATAGGTGTATAAAAGAAGCCATTATTTTATCTTACACAGCTGGTCTTGGACGAACTGGCACGCTTATTGCCTGTTACATCATGAAGCATTATCAGATGACTGCTGCTGAAAGTATTGCCTGGATTAGAATAAATAGACCTGGTTCTGTGATTGGACCACAACAACACTTCCTGATGGAGTAAGTAGATTTGGCTGTAAATTATTTGAAAAATAAATCTAGATGTCTTTTACTTCTTCGTTGTACACATAATAATCTTCAGTGTTAATTTGTTGTGTTTTGGGCCTTTTTTTCCATGTTATGATAGCAAACAGGCAGAACTTTGGACAGAAGGGGATATTTTCCGTGCAAAGTTGAAAGGAAACCATAAAATTGCTGTAACAAGAATTCTGTCAGGAGTAGATGATATTTCAATTAATAACACAAGAAACAGGAGAACCATCCAAAAGGACATTGAACTGGTAACCATCCAAATATTGTGCTCTTGTAAAAGTTGGAACTGTTGAGAATCTCTCAGGTTCTGAACAAACCTGTGGGTACACTAAAATTATGTTAATCAGATTCTCTTTCTGTTCACCCTTTTTGTATAAAGGGATATTGGGGGGAAAAAGTAGGCACAGCAAGTATGAAAAAAAGTTCAGAACACAAGTGTAAGTGGGAGTATCATTATCATGCTTTAGTCTGTAGTAATTAGGTAAATAATAGAACAAAAAGAAGTACTCACAATCTGCAACCAAAAACAGTGTGATTTTGGTTTGGATTGTCTGTTGCTTCATTGTGTGTACTTGAAGGGAAGGGATGAAATATTTTTAACTTTTTAGTTTGTAAGTAATTGCAACTTCTATACCTTTTGATGGTACCTTTTGAAAAAGACTGTACTGCTGTTTTAAAAAGGCAAGCGAAGAAGGGAAATGCTGTACTTGAGTGAAGAGTTGCCTAAGCAAAGATTTGATAATATATTATTTCCACTGTTTTAAAAGTAGACAACATTCTGATGCATGTAATTCATTACACCACTTAATAATGGTTTACCGCTTTAAGAGCAGCAAACAGGAAACTTGAAGGAACAGAACTGTATTAATGCAAGTGAATTTCCTTTTACTTTATCCTGGTGGGATTAATTCTAACTTTAAGACTTAAAATAAGGTTAATTTTTAGATATCCAAGTGCCTGTATTTTAATCTTCGTTTATCCCTTCCCCTCCTCCACTTACCCAGTACAGTGATGACGATGAAACAAACTGTGTAACACAAGGGGATAAGCTACGGGCTCTGAAAAGTAGAAGGCAAGCAAAAGCTCCAAATGAATCTCCACTAACGTAAGTCAGTGTATGAATGTATAAAATGCCAGAAACACTTTTGTCCTCTTCTTTGTCCATACTTCTCGTTGCTCCCAAATGTTTGTTGCCTAGGCTGCTTTTACTCATTTAAAAAGCACAGGAGATTCAGTGTTTCTCTGAAGGTTTGGTGAGTATTGAGGAGGCAGGAGAACTTGGTTAAAGAACTGCATGACTGAATTTCTAGTTCCCTGCATAGTTTCTGATTCCATTAGTCTGCAATTTACAAGTTCCCATAGTACTTCTGAATGTGTTACTTTTAGTTTAATCACAAACCTTCTCTTGTCTTTCTTGCGGTAGTATAAAAATGGAAGCTGTGTGCTTGGGTTTGATTGGATGAAATAAGGTGTGTGCTGGTGCTTGAAGTAAAGTCAGCTATCTAAGAAGAGTTGGAAGGATCCTAGGCTTCCTTTAATTTCCTTTTCCATGGAGAAGTTTCCCTAAATCCTGTGGGCTTTAGAGTAATGTCTGGTCGATCTGGAAGGCAGAGTAGCACAGTTTCTGTAAAGAAATTCAAAACGAGTGCATTTCTGTCAGGGAACCTGGTGTGGTGTCTTTATTAGAGACAAGTACTGAAACACCACCTGTAGAAGGCAGTTTGCATCCATTGTAGCTTGTAGCAACTGCAGGTGGAAAAACTTTCTGTCTGCTCTTAAACTGCAAGAGAATGCAAGATTTGCAAGACATACTGGATCTCGTTTGATTACTTGGAAAGGAATGGCATCCTCTGGCTGCCAGGTTTTTGCAAATGATACAGCACCAGAGTCACAGACCACAGTCAACTTGGCTCTTGTGCTGTTTTTCTGTAGGGGATGATGTTGCTACCTGCTGGCATTTTTTTTCTTTCAATTTTAAGATCACCAGTGTCATCAGACCTTTAGTAAAAGTAAGAGGTGTGTAGTAAAAATGTGCTGAAGGTAAAGGATTATGTCTTTGGAAACCTTCACACATTGCTATGTATGATTTCTGCTTTTGTTTTAAAATATTCTCTTTTGTTCATGCTCATTATTTACACAGGCAGTCGTGTAAGAACCAGCATATTGAGAACAAAGCTTGTATCCAGCTGATGTTTAGAAAAACCCAAAACACATCACCTCAGTTACCTCAAATAGCACTGTAAGAAATAGCTACCTTGCACATCAGTTTCCAAGGCACATAGTGCCGTAGTTGCCGCTTCATAATA